TCTTTCTAAGCATGTCCTCAGGTAAGGGTTTAAAAAAAAGAAGACTGGTAGGCATGGCAAAGATGCTGTATGATTCTAACTATATGATATTCTGCAAAAGGCAAAACTGGAGACAATAAGACCTGTGGTTGCCAGGGGTTAGGGGGAGGGAGGGATGAACAGGTGTAGCACAGAGGATATTTAGAGCAGTGAAACTGCTCTGTATGATACTATAATTGTGGATACATGTCATACATTTGTCCAAGCCCATAGAAAGTAAAATAAGTGAACCCTAATGTAAACTATGGATTTGGGTGATAATGATGTGTTAATGTAAGTTAAATTATAACAATCATACTACCCTGGTGTGGGACTATGGGGTGGTAGGTCAGGATGGGCCCGGAGGATATAGGAACTCTGTACTTTTTGCTTAGTTTTGCTCTAAATCTAAAACTGCTCTAAAAAATAAGGTTGTGGGATTTGTGGGTTTTTTTAGTTTTAGGAGGGAAATTCATGATTAAATTTGCAGTTTTAACAGATCCCTCTGGCTCCACTGATTCTTGTGGATGGAGATAAAGAATTAATATGAGTGTAGAAGAACAGTTAACTGCAGTTGTCCAGGTGAGAGATGGCGCTAGTTTAGTAGCAGGTGGTGTCAAAAGATAAAGTGAAAAATGTGCTGGCCTTAGAGAAATAAGATTAAATTATGTGTCCCTGAATAAATCAATGAACTGCTTACCCTTAGTTCCTTATATACTAAAAAAGAGAAAAGGAGGAAGTATATGGGGTTTGGCCAATGGTCTTCATGATTTAGGGAGAATCTATCACTGAATCACACTTAAGGCAAAGAGAATAAACTGAGAACCTGAGGTAGCTATCCTTTCTTTCTTTAATGGCAGCCTTGTATTAAACAAAAACAAAACCAGGCAGATTAAGGTTTTTATGAGAGAACTTTTAAAAAATAATTTCCTGGGTACTCTTTATCCTATCTAATAAAAGACAAAAATGGTAATTGGCGTACGACCGATACCCTTTTCACTGGCTAATCAGTGAGATATGCAAATTAACTGGCAGCCAAGATGGTGGCAGGCAGCCAGGCAGCTGATGCGAACAGGGAGGCTTGCTTGCTTCAGTGACGGAGGACTA